GAGAGGCTCAAGTGTTGTCTCTGAATAGCAGCCGCTGCATGCTTCCCAGCCTGAAAGGGTGAAGACGGTGGCTGAAAGCAGGCCAGAGGGCAACCCCCCCAACTCATCCTACAGCCTTTCTCCAGCCAACCATTGTTAATAGAAACCATCTGTGTGATAGTTATTTGTGAACAGAGTTGGTTGCCCCCTGTTGGTTCAGTCAGTTTCAGAGGCCTGGGTTTATGTAGTGGCAGGAAGTGGTATAGAACTAGATTCAGCAGTGGCTTGNAAGCGCTCCAGAGAAAGGAACAATTCATTTATCCACTTCACAGTATAGCAGATAAAACATTAATGAACCTGGAAATGAGATTACTGTAAGTTTCCATTTTTAATGAGGCAAATTCAGGACAATTGTCCAGTCAGTCACCAGATTAGTCAAAACAACAGAGCCAAAGAAATTTCATCATATTTAAGCAGTCTAACTAAGCAGGATTGAAGTTGAAACCACCAAGGTCCTATTATTGCACAAATATAAATGGGAAGGGAGAGTTAATGCAGCTGAGAGATGAATCAGAGGACTTACAAACACTTCCTCCCACAGTCAGGCTTTGGATTCAGTCCCATGACTGGAAGGAAGAGGAAAGAAGAGACAGCAAAATATTCCCTAGGCCAAATGTATCTGAAATTATCTAAGTCTATTGATTCAAGAAAAGTCCCCATTTTAATAAACATTACGAATTACTATATCTTCATTTAGCTTTGAAGAACTTGGTTTATAAATTGCCTGTTAAAATACAAGTAGTAAATTAAAATGATTAAATTGACATATTTAACAAGTCCAGGCAGAAAGAAAAACAGAAACCAAAACTAATCCTCATTCGTCCATGCATTTTATATATAGCTGTTTTTTTTTATAAAAAAAAAAACAACAGTAAAATCCAAACTAATATAAAGTGAAAAGTCGGAAGGTGATAAAAGGGAAAAAGTTTTAAGTAACATGGAACAAATATATACAAACAGTAACCTCCAACTTTTTTCAGACATTGTATTTACTTAAGGGTTTCTAGCTCTTACTGAAAGTAGGAGAACCATAATCAAGGAAGAGCACACATCCTGAATATATGCCCTTTTTTACTTGGTTTAGTACCTATAGCTGTTTTTTTTTATTTTTCCCTGTGGGGTACATCATACCACAAACCAAGTCAAAAGGGCAAGTGGCAATATTTTTCCTCATACTTACTGAATTTTTGATGCAAATTGCTTTATTGGTTATGTCATAAGTAAGCAGAATAGAAGAGAGTTTTTAAAGATCAAAGCATTCTCATGATGAAGTGTACCTCAAACCCTGTCACCTCCTTTTCTGTCCTCTATTTTGGTGTGAAAAGGATGAAAATGAGTATACACGTAGGAGTCAAGATAATTTTCATTTTCAATCTACCTTTGGCATACCTGCACTAATTCAATAATTGCAATAATTCTGTTTCTTTTTCACATACTTCTTAGACCTACCCAATTAGCAAGTGAAATGAATATCCACGCTTGCAGTATACAAGATTTTCTAATTTGTATATGACTCTCTACATTCCACACGAACAGTTTTAAAATACAGAACTAAAATGGCCAATGTAGTTCAGAAGACATAATAAGGCCATCATAGATCACAAGGAATGCTTTTCAGTTAGGTTTGAGCTCCGAGAATGGTTTCCTTACTCAGTCACATGCATGTTTATAGACAATATAATGTTGAGTTGGTGATTCTAGTTGGATATTTGTGTGTGTGTGTGTGTAAAATAAACATATAGTAAAACATGCTGAAACTCAAAATGATACTGCAAATATATTTTTGGGAATGTAAAACAAGATTTCTAATTAACTTTGATCCTTTAATATTGGAAGAAACTGGGTAAATGAACTTGGAATTTGTCTGTCTCCCAGTACCAGAAACACCCAAAATCTTAACAGAACAGGACCGCGTTTGGGACAGGGGGAGAAAAGGCGAGAAAAGAAAGGCGGAACTAAAAAAAAATGAGCCGGATCAGGCCGGAAAGTGTGGAGGAAAAACAAAAACTAACCGCATCCCTATGAGCGAAGCAGCTGGTCAGCTCCCTCTTCTATTGCTGTCATGTGATTCAGATCAGAATAGTACTACATAATAGCAGTTGGTCCGTGTTGCGCAGGGTACACAAACACAACGGGAGAGCATAAACGGAAGCAAACTCACAACCACCTCACCCCATGGAAAAATCGGCCTTTAAAAAACAGAACCCCGGATAATCTGATTCTATGCAACACTGGCATTTGTAGCATGACTACATGCTTACCCACTCACTAGTAAGTTTTACTATCAAGGCTTCACACGCACACACAGCATTGTGTAATTGCAGATACTGGCTCTTACTCTTCCTCTGGTCTCTTTGGAAGCCAATANTTTCAGTTACCACCTTTCCAGCATCCCCATGATCATGTGATCAAAATCCAGATGCTTGGCATCTGGTTTACATGTTAACCGTTTCTGTGCCCCTGGTTCAGGCGATCCCCTTTTGCGACCTTCTGACAACCAAAGTCAATGGGGAGACCAGTTCCACTTAACAACTGGGTTACTAATTTATCAAGTGCAGGGATTCACTTAACCACGGAGGCGAGAGAGGTCGTGAAATGGGGCAAAAATTCACTTAGCAAATGTCTCACTTAACAACAGAAATTGGTCAATGGTGGTCATAAATTGAGGACTACCTGTATATGTCAAACGAGGGTCAGGTCATTCTTGTTTAGAAGCCCCTTTCACTCACTCACTCATACACATAATTTACATTAAGCTCCTGTTGCAAGTTGCCCAACTCAACTGCAAAAAGCCCTCTGCTCATACTCAAGAATCTGGTTTGCTCTACCGCTTCCTGTTTAGAACATACTATTGTATATGGATTTGCTTCTGGCGCAGATTTGGAAGATGGAAGATCCTGGGGTTAGAAGGAAGGGCAGGAGGAAAGGGACCCCTTCCAAAACAGTCTCGCAACCACATCAACCCGGCCGACAAGGGATTATTTCTATTCAGCAGCTGTTTTGTTTTCAAAGAGCCCCCCCCCCCCTGCCCGCCCCACGCGCAACTCACGTTTCCGTAGATCCGCAAGAGGAGGCAGAGCCCCGCTTCTCAGTAAATAAAAAGTCCCACCTTTTCATTTTCCGCCAGGAGAATCTGCTACGCATATCCCGCTTCGGCAGATCGCAAAAAAAAATAGCTCTGCGGTGATCGGCTTGTGTAAAAGGACAGCGGGGGAAGAAGAGGAGCTACGGTACTCCACTAGTCCCAGTGGAGCGCCCGCTTTGCTTTCCTTTTCGCTCCACCCCCGGAGAAGGATTTGTAAAGTTACTGCGAAATCTCGCTCCTATTCTCTTCCTCAGGTAACTTGGCGTCCAAAGAACACGGGTGTGCTTCGTTCGAAAGCCGCTCCCGCAGTGCCATCTAGTGGCCATGCGTGGAAAATACGACTCGGGAAACAATAAACAGACCCGTATTTGGAATGACGGGAGGAGGGAGAGAGGGAAGGAGAGAGAGAGAGATTTGGTAACGAAACTTGTTGAGCAACCTTACACTGCTTTTCTTGTGAAGGAATTGAGCTGCTCAAACACAAATGAAAAGCAATGATGGAATTGTTGGATGAAAAAAGCACCCAGCCCCCTCTTAATTGTGACTGTTGTAGATTTTGAAATTGTTTGTATTGTCTTATTTA